TTTTTTGTTTTTTTTTTTTTTTTTTTTAGAGAGAGAGTGGAAGGGAGGGAGGAAGTAGGGAGAGAGTGTGAGAGAAACATTGATGTGGGATTGCTTGCCTACACCCCCCTCCCAACCAGGGTGGGGGATCGAATCTGCAACCCAGATACAGGCCCTTGACAAGGAATTGAACCTGCAACCCTCCGGTCCTTGGGCCAGTGCTCTAACCAATGAGGAAACTGGCCAGGGCTAGCATTTATACCTTTTAATTAGGATCAGACATTGTACTGGGTCCAGTTTAGTTACAATTAGCATTGTTTTTATGTGCATCATACTATAGAACAAAAATACTTATTTCCCCTAATGTTGTGTTAGCAAGATAAAGCTGGTTGATAAACTTTTCAATGTTTAATTATTCATGATAAAATATTTATATAAAATGACACAAAAAGAAAATAGATGTGTTCATGTAGTGAGTAAACTCAGCTTTACCAGTACAGTTATGAGAGGTGATTGTTTACTGTCTCCAAGTCAAGTCATAAGGGTGCATTTAGTGTACTGAAAGTGTCTGGACTGTTTATTAAGTGGTGCTGAAATACCGTGGCTGAGTTGTCCTCTGTGGACAATTAAAGTAGGCTGCTCATATTAGAACAGGCCTAGCTGGGGGCCAGTAATATATTTGCATCAGATTAGGGAGGCTGCTGTGGGAATGACAAGCAGGAAAGCCTGTTTGTAATAGGAGGGTACTGGGGTCAAGGCAGAAGCCCTGCATTCTAGGTCCAGCTGTGCCACCAACTACCAGTGTATGCAGACTTCCAAGACTGAGCCAGCTCTTTTTCTCAATTGAAAGCCTGGGACAAAATTGTCTCTAAAACCTCTTCTAGCAATAGATTTTTTTCCTTTGCTTTCGCTTCCTCTCTATATGATTTTCCTCAATACATTTCCCTAAAGACAGAAAAAAACTATGAGATGTCAGCTTAGATTGGTACATAGAGTTAATTGGCCTCTGATTTGGCCTAATTTTAGATCTGGTTCTTTACCCAGATTCTTATGTTTGCTCTTGAATGGAGGTCTGGAAAGTAACCAGAGTCTTGTTTAGACTCAGCTGGCACATTTCAGAGATGGACACAGCAGGTATTTTCAGCAGATGTTTGCCATGCTATGGGTTCAAACTAAAAGTGAAACTAATGTATTCTGGAAGTAGGTCTGAAATAATAGTCTTTCACATTCTTGCCTTTCAAGGGCCCTTGGGTATTCACAGCAATTCAGACCAGATTTTGTCAACATCTTCAACAGCAGAGATTAGGGAATTATATGCTTCATCTTCAGAGATGTTAATTATACCATCCACTGCCAATAAACTCTTTCTCCTGCGTTTGCCACATTTTAGAAGAGCTCTGTGGTCTTTGCTAGGGGCATTCCTGCTTAGGTTAAGACTAACCAACACCGGAATTCTCTTTTCCAAGTAACAACCCCAATACCTTCAACTAAACGTTCATGGAAATGCTGTAATCTTGACCCCTGAATTTCATCAAGATTTCAGTGATGAGGGACTTGCCTGCCCCTGGTTACATCTTGCCTTCCTTCACACTTTAGCTCAGTCACCACTCTCAGGAAAGCCATCTCTAGGCTTGTTCAGGAGACTGAACTCTCCCAAGACATTGTGTAACTTTCCTTTATAGCATTTAATGAGTGTATAATACTGTGGTTTACTGATGTGACAATTTGTTCATTGTCAGCTACTCTAATAATCTAAACTCCATGAAACAGGGAGCTGATCCACTCTGTATCCCCAGAGTCTAACAAGTGCCTGGTGCATAATATTCATTGAATCAACAAGTTAAGAACTTGGAAATAAATAAAAATCAGGCTAAATTATACTGATGATATACATTTTCTTGCAGAATTAAAGTGTTTTGCCAGTTTGCTTCTATAAACTGAAAAGTTTGAGACTATCTAAAAGAAATCTCACCATTAAAACATGTTTTGTAGTGATTATTGTCATGAATTTGCTCTGAGCTTAGCATTCTTTTGCTCCCTTCACCCCCTCCACCTCACCCTCAAGGCCATTTGTTTATTGGGCTGGTGCGTGCGTGCGTGCGTGTGTGTGTGTTAATGCCCAAACCGAAAATAGGCTCCTGGAAAGTAAAAATGGTAAAAACAGACTTGTATAATATTGCCAAAGAAAGTACTAATTCAGTTTCTAAATTCTAACTTCTCTCTTTTCCTTTGTGCTCAGAATACAGGATGTTTGTGTTATTATATGTTTATTTTAGCCACAGATCTTCCATCTGGGCACATTTAGTCTCTTTATGAATCTCTGATACTTATATATTTGTATGAAATCTCCAAAAATATTGAGGAATCGATTTTTATGTAATCAAAATGAACTCTTAATCTTGACCACATAATTTTTAAATAAAATTTAAAGGTTTAGAGGGCACGTAGTGTCAGACTCGGGGTGACCAGTGGTGCATAGCTGCAGGGGCACAGGCGTGTTTATCTTTAGTTGTATCCCACTGCAGCCTGGTGCCAGACTTCTCCGGACCTGCAGGCACTCCCCACTAATCTAGATGGTTAAGAAAGAGATTGTAGTTAACACTTGCAAACTGCAGGAATGTCTGGTTTGTTTGACAAGGACTAGCAGGGTGAGTAATCATATTCTTTAGAAATGCAGATTTTATGCTAATATATTCTTCTGGTGTGGGTTGTAATCACTTTT